CTAATTTTGTATTCCCTGATTTTTGTTTACAAAATATGGAATGTATTTTCTCCAAATATTATGACCAAATTCTTTTCACATCATTTTAGTAGTTTCATGAATGCCAGTCAAGCTGCCTGTGTGTACAAATGAAAAGTGCTTTTGTGTGATTATTGTGAGTTACAGGACTGTGATAATCTGTGTTACCTCTAGTATAATTGGAATGGAAAGCAAGTCCTGTTAATGCTATTTTACTATAAAGTTGATGATTTCTTCTGGGTTTTTTTTTTTGTTTTTGTTTTTGTTTTTGTTTTTTCTAAGTGGAGTGTTTGTAGTACAAGAAGTGGATCTTTTAAGTCGCACATGTCTGAACATTTTTTGGTTTTTTTTTTTTTTTTTTTTTTGTGAGCCCTTTGAAACCTTATAAAGACTTACAGGGCTCTCATAGCATCAAATGGTAGCACTTATTTATTGTCCCCACCAGGCTCAAGATGTATCATTCTGTGGGTCTCAGATTCCAGTGGTGCTAGGAAGCAACTGATGCATTAGTAAGTTACGAAAAGCGGCATTGCATGCACTGGAAGGCTAAATGAGAGTAGCAATTATATTTTATATCACGCACTTCAAAGAGAAACAACTCAATGAAAAATTCCAAGAGTGTGATAAGATATCAGAAAGTTCCACAGCTTTGAATTCATGAACATTCGGGTGTTGTTTGTGCTGACAAATACATTTGCTAACCTGGCAGCCTGTGTAAGCTATTGGAGAAGAATTAGAAAAATAAAAACCAAAATACTGGCTGGAATATAAGCATCACATTCAGAAAGATATAGACAAGATCAGAGATATCAAGGACTTAAATAGCTATGTTAACATAACATTTAAGAAAGTGATGTTTATAGTCAAATCTCTTAATATTCGTTCCCTTATATCTTACAAAAATAGAACTGAATCAGCGTTTTAAAATTTATGGGTATTGAATTCTTTACTAAGTAAAACAGTTAAAAAGTAAAGTGTTTTTGTTACTGCTATACACTGTTAGTTTTGAGAGCTTGCTATAATCCTGATTAAGTAAAGAGATTATGATTAAGTAAACCAGATTATACATCTGGTAGTAATTAGATGGGACAGTTACCATCTGAGGACATAGTGTTTCCACTGGAAAGAGAAAAAAACCACCAACAGTCAGTGGTCTAACTAAATTACTTCTGATATATTTTCCCTTTATCTTCACAAATTATATCACCTACATTTATTACCATTGCATCACCTTTTTTCCAGTAAGTAGAACTGCAGAATGCCTCATAGAGGAGAAACACCATCAGACTGTGAAATACTTTGAGTATTGTGAAGAAAAAACAGCAACAACAACTGTGGGATCATTTTCAGAGTGATGTTTGAATAGAGAAAATATCAGAGAATCTTCATGGCAGAGATTGTCATCTTTACCAGATGATTGAGCAGAAGAAAGACTTAATGCCAAGAGACAGTTAATAGTTTCAAAAAGTTGTTGGTAGCAACACCATCTCTGAAAGCATTTAATATTTATATTATTACAAAATTTAATTTGGAGGGTAACTCTGTATAGATAAAAAGGTAGATCAGATGACCTATGTTATCTACGCCCATTTTTATTTTGTGGTTCTTTTGAGAGATTTAAGTGAAAAGCAAATTATATACGTGAAATATTTAAAAGAAAAATAAGGTTTAAAAATAATATAAGAGAACTTGCTGAATGAGTTGTTAGACAGTCTGCTCTGAACAATGGCTACCTAAGGTGAACCTAGTCTGGTGATTAACATTAGCCAAGATTAAGCAGATGGATTATGATGTCTTTTTGAGCTGCGCACGCTTGGAATAACACTGAGGATGTTCAGTTCATTTGCTATAGATAATCACACGTACAATTTATGAATCTCTGAAAAGAAACTAACTACAATTTTATTTACATAGGATGTGACAGTGGGTGAGTACAATGAAATTACGTGCAATAGTTGACAGCTATAAGGCAATGGATATATCCTTATAGTCTAGAATAAACTGTTCCTTTTAGTGTCTTTATTAAACTGAGCATTTTTGTGTAAAAACTTTGAAAGACTGATTTGGTTTGTGAGAATGCAGGCAATGAGATTCAGTTCTGAATTCTGTTCCAGTCTTTTGAAGAATCAAATTCTCAGTGTTGTAGTTATCTTAACAGACGTTGTGAATCATGTTAAGAACATTTAACTATAGATTAATTTCAGGAGAAAATGTGATAACCTGTAGAATGAAACAGCAATTTATACAATACGTTGATTATTAATTTGTTAAATATTTGGTATTTGTAAGTTATAAGATATTTGAAAGATGCATAAGAATTTTCCATGGCTAAAATTAATACTAGAATGTGTTCAGACGTGGTGTGCTATGCAGCCATCAGTTCCCTGTTTAAACTATCATTCATTCTATGGATAAAGAAGACTTCTTAGTTACTTTTGTACATTCAAATTATTTCATGTTATCAAATTCAAATTATTTCATGTTATTATATTCAAACCATGTATATGTTATTATTTTACTTTCTTTACTTTTCAGTCTAATAATTATTTCCATGTAAAATATATTGTGTTTCTATCCTAAATATTGATGCTTACATAACCAAATGTTTAACACCAGTACAAATATCCAGAACAACTTCTGAGATTCTAATTCAAAGGTGATTTTTATCAGCAGCCTCAGGAGAAAATCTACCTTAAAAAGCCTATTGTATGAATGAATATTTGTATTGTTCAATGAAATTTATTTCCATTTTTTATGAAGAGTGAGACATTGTACAAATTAGCTGAGAAGCTGAGTAGTTCCCTGGCTATTGAATGTCACAATGGTTTGCTGCAGATACCTGTTTGAACTACTTTAGCTAGCTGAAGTCATCTTGGTCAGTTGAATGGGGTAATTTGGCATGCAGATCACTGAAGAACATTTCTGCTGTTATTGATGTCCTTATAGTACATTTTCTGAGCAGAATAGGTTCACTTTGTAGCTAGCAATACAAGTGCCCTGGAAGAATTTCCTCTAGGAACATCACTAGGTATAAGAATGAGGCATGAGACTTAAAATGCCTGATCTAAATTGTGTCCCTAGGCTTAACACATCTGCCAAAACTTCTGTTTAGAACTGTAGTGAAAAATGCGGCAGCTAATGACTAGGTGTGTCAAAAATGCCAAGCAACTGTATCTCTCTATGATCTCAGTACAAATAGATCTCTGCCCTATCACTGCTCAAAAGCAGTTTTTCTAGCCATCATGGAGTGGCTTGTGTAACTTGCTGCTGCCAAGCTTGGAAATTTCTCCCTGCGTATTCCTTCCAGTTTTTGTTGTTGTTGTTTTGTTACTTTAAATGGAGATTTGATAACCTAAATATATGTGCATATGCGTACTTCATTCTGTACAGATCTGTTCTTTTTTTTTTTTTTTCAGTCATACTACTTAAAATGAATATGATTTGCCTCATATACAGTATATTAGAAGATGACGTTTTTTCCTGTACCCTGATCGTTGTCCAAAAAGAAAAAAAAAAAAAAACCTAACCAAACAAACATAATTTTTGTAGTGAGAGCAACATTTAAAAAGATATTAACTCTCCATAAAGGGAAATCACACAAACTGAAAACATTTTTTTTTCTTTGAAAAAGACTAAGAACATAGTAAGAGAAAATTTTGTCAAATCTGACTTTATTTGAACTTTATGTTGAGAATTGGCAACATTTTCTTATCAGTATTGAAATTGAAACATGTAGTAAATAGTAAAATATTTCAGAAGACTTTGCCATAGTTTTATTAAGAAAAAACACAGAGTAGCCAGAAGAGACTGTTCCATTAGTCAGTATGGCAGCTGCATCAAGGTGACACTGTCAAAGAATTTATTTTCTATTATTTTGATTATTAATATTCCCTGAGGCTGCTACACAGCTTTTTAGTAGAACTGTGCTGAAATTCCTTCTTCGAGGCTGATTAGATGACTAGTCATATCTATCCTACATTCTAGACAAGGTAAACTAATCATTCAGATAAAGCAATTTTATTCAATTAAAGGATTCCAGTTAAGGTATCTGTATGTAGGTCAGATTCACAGGGAACACTTGTGGTGAGAGTGGTCCGCTCTCAAGCATGAAAACTATCTATAAATTCATCAGAAACAATCTGGCATCTATTTAAAAGACCAGTATTTAAGTTTATCACTTACTGAAAACTGTTACTTCTGCTGAAGAATACCTAAGGTTGTTGTGTCTTCATAAGGACTTTAAAGACTTCTGTCTTTACAAATAAATATGATTTTTAATGTTTTTCAATTAGTTTAAAATATCAAAGTGATTTATTATGAAATATAAGACACCATAGAAAAGCAAATGATCTGTCGATTTATGACGTACCATAACTTTAAAACATGCTTTGGGCCTAATTCTCATATAATTTACAATGTAGTAAACCAGAAATCATTTCTCTGAATCCAATGGATTTGCCTTGGTGTAAAACTAACATATGAGATCAGAATAAATTGTATTGTTTCAGTTTTGTTATTTTGTACTGAATATGGACTGAGCCAAGGCACAAATTGCTCTCTTTTCATAAAGATTTTACTAATGTATTAAATCTGAAATGCTGTCATTAGCTTCTTTCTCAAGAAAGAAAACATCTACTTATCATTCCAGACTGACAAAGTGCCTTCTTCTAAGGAAAGGTCTCTTGTACCAAAACAAGAGATTTGAAATTACATTGGAGAGTGCTTGGGAATACTTACAAGTGGAGCTATGCTAACTTAATCTGACAGTACTGGAGTCTTTGTGGAATTTAGAGATAACAGCTTGGATCCATTTAAATCCAATGATTTTTGGCATAACTAGCTGCTGTTCCTTTCTTATAAATTCTCTGGATTTTTTTTTTTTCTAAAATTAAGACTGTATTATTGCTAATTGTAAGAAAACTTTCATATTCATCTCTCTCTTTTTTTTTCTTTTTTCTTTTTTCTTTTTTTTTTTTTCCCAGAGTGCTGCCAAAATGAGTGAATCTCTTTCAAGCAGTTACTCCGTGAATCAGCCAAACTCCTCTGAGAGTGAACAGAGTTTATCTACACGCCATTTCAATGTTACTGAACCTGTAGTGGCCAAAAGGATCTGTTTTTATAAAAGTGGAGATCCTCAGTTTAATGGAATCAAAATGGTCATTAACAACCGGTCTTACAAAACATTTGATGCCTTGCTGGATAGCTTATCTAAACGGGTCCCGTTACCTTTTGGAGTAAGGAATATCAGTACGCCAAAAGGGAGACACAGCATCACCAGTCTGGAGGATCTTGAAGATGGAAAATCTTATATTTGCTCCCATCAGAGGAAAATGAAGCCTATCAACCTAGAACGGGCTAGCAGAAAGCCACTGCCCTGGCAGATCAGTAGGCCTGTCAGTGCTCGTCGTCGAGCTGTGCAATTAGCAAAGGAGAATGAAGATGGATTTGGCCATCAAGAAAGCACAATAACAACTCCCAGAAAGATGCTTGTTTTCAAAAATGGAGATGTAAGACTCAGACGCACCATAGTTCTGGGAAAGAAAAATACACAAACCTTTGAGGCCTTTCTGGATTACATGAGTGAATTAATGCAGTATCCAGTTGCAAAACTTTATACCACTGATGGCAGAAAGGTGAGAATGAAAATGAGCACTGATGATTGCTTTATGTTTGCTTCTAGAATATTTTTTAGAAAACAGATGATTACATCACTTGGGACCCTGACATAGTGTAGTCTAATGTGCTGAATTTCAGCTGTCTTCCCTCTGTAAGGCTACTAGCTTGGAGGAAATAATTGCATACAAATCTTGTAATCGGAGAGAAGCAAGCAGGAACATTGTATTTCAAGTCATCAAGAAAAGTAACTTTTCTTTTTCTTTCTTAAGCCTCTTCCAGTTATAATCTCAGTTATATATAGAAATATATATATTGTGCCTAATTACACAGATACTTCCCTTAGTATTTATGCAATTTTTCTGTTTTTAAATGTTTTATAAATACTGTAGGCAGTATCTGATAGACATAGATATTTTATTGTTACACAAATGGGGAGTGGTTTGCTAGTAATTACTTGAAATTAGGAGATCTTATTTTCTTCAGTTCCTGAACAACAGACCAAGTTTTGTACCTTAAGCCAAGAAGTTGCAGCAATAACAATTCTGGTTTTCATTTCACACACTGTTCTATACAACTTCATTTCAGTATTTAACAACAGAGGGGACTTGTGGTTGTACCTGAAGACCTGAATCTGGGAAGGGAATTCCATGCAGAGTGTCTGTTGAGGGCAAATCTTCGATTAAATTCTACATTAGGTTGGGAAACTCTCCATATGTCTGAGAAGTGCAGTTTACAAGCCTCATTTTGCAGTATATCTTGGAATATAAATTCAAAGATTTTAGACAGCCCCTGAACAACTTAATCTGAAGTTAGACCTTGTTTGAGCTGCGAGTTACACTAGATGATATCCAGAGGTCTTTTCCAACAGAAATTGTTCTAGGATTCTGTCCCGTTCCTCTGCTGTGGTACATATGAAGTATGTAGTCTGTGTAGTTTGTGATGTAGTCTGAATTTTCCATTTCTTCCTCTGTGTTCATATGTATACCTACCTACAAATGCACATTCTTTTTCCATGGCTGTATATTATAAGGAAATTTTTATCTGTATCCAAGTCTTCTTAAACTCTTTTTCTAGTATACTTATATAACAAGACATACCCTCAGAGAGAGAAATTTCCATATAGGAATTGAAAAATTAATTCTGCTCTGTGTTACATATTTAATAGCCAGCTGTAAAATAATGTAGAGACTAAGAAGTGAAGATATTAAAGCATGAAAAAGATAAATCTCTTACATTATTTTTTGTGGTTGCTGAGATGGAGAAATTAATGTTATGGTGGTGTTTTGTTTTTTTTTTTTCCTTTTTTTTTTTTGCAGGTTCCTAATCTTCAGGCCCTGATATTGTGCTCTGGAGCTGTAGTTGCAGCAGGGAGAGAGCCTTTTAAACCAAGTAATTATGAATCTCTTGGGTATTCACGGCCTGCCAGATTACTTGGAATTGCAAATCGTGTGTACCCCAAAGCAAATTTGAAGTCAGAAAGTGAAAACAGTAAGTTCTTTGAATTAATTTATATTTTACTAATTGGTTCATCTCTCGCAGCATAAGATATAAACCATGACAATCTTACTGGGATCAAGGATATTCAAAAAGACCAAGTGAAACTGTTTATTTTTGTTCTAAATCATCTGTAGGAATTAGAAAGATAAAATTAAGTTTTTTTAAAGTTAATTTTCCTTTTAAAATATGAGTTTCTGCTAAAAACTGAGTATGCATATTTTCTCTCAAACTGGCTGATTTAGAACAAGGATTCAAATAAAGATGTATATTATATTTCAATGAACTTGATTGTTATTGTTATGTTAATGCACTTAATTTTCTTTCTTTTTTGGGGGGGAGGGGTATTACATTTAATAATAGCAGAGGTAAAAGAGACCCCAAAGGTTACTTCAGAATCCTTAACTAGCTAAATTGATTGAGAAAAACTTTTGTGCAGTTTTCAAAATTTAGCAAACGGGAATTTGGCTTGTTATCTTGACTTTCACATTTTCCTATGTCACATAGTCAGCATAGACATGAAATTCATTATAACACTCATCCACTTACAAACTCAAACTCTTTTTGTGAAGCCTACAGAGATTTTCACTCTTTCCTATATCCTCATACCCGTGATATATGCTTTTCTTTTGACTACTCAAGTAATTGTGCCACTGAGAAATTTCAGTGAATGTGAGATTGCTAGATTAAGAATATGAAGAGAAGCCAGGCCAGCTGAAAAGCCTTAGGCTATGGGGAGCAAAATGATGCAACAGTAGGACTTTAGGACATGCATGAATCCTTAGCCTTAGAGTATGCTGTAGGCAGAAGTGCTGTCTCAGAAGTTGTTTAATCCAGAGGTACTTCACTCTCATGATATAGTTGTATGCTGTACTGTAAAGCTCGGGGTATGCTGTAATTGTTTCTATACTGAGATTTTTTCCATGGCAACTTCACTGTGTAATGGAGCATCCTGCTGTATAAGAAACTGAGCTTCCATTTACTTGAAGAGATTTATTCCGTATCCCTCACAGTCTGTAATGTATCTACCAAGCTATTCATTTCAGTTTTTCTCAGTCTTCGCAGCCTTTGTGTTCTTGACTTTCATAGCTTGAGAGCTGTTTGCAAGGCATCAGTAATGAGTCAAAGGAAAATGAATTGGAACATTTTGTGAATGAAAATTCTGGAGTTCAAAATTCCTATTGAAATTCTGCTTTGAGTCAGAAATCCAGGCTTGAAATGATGTTTAAAAAAAAAAAAAGTGAATAGTTGAGAATATGATAAACTTTGTCTAATCCTTAGTTAACAGCAATAAGAGAGAAAAAATAGTCAGAGATTCTTTAACTGAGACAAAAAACAACAAAAAAACTCATATTCCATGCAGTGATTATCACATTAATGATAATGTCTGAATTATTAAATTTTTTGAAAATAGAGGTCGAGATTTTACTTTGGAAAACACTGGGTTTGGTCCTTGTTAGAGGAATTAGTAAAAATTTTTATTTCTGATTCATGGGAAAGTATATGAATGGGAAACTCACAACACATTTATCCTGAAATTATAGGCACCTGTCTGTATCAGTAATATCTCAATCATTAAGGTCTTTATATAAAACCGTTCTTTATTCACACAAACAAAAAAATTCAAGAAATATAGTTAATATTACTTGTGTTAAAATACCTTCCTACAAGAAAGGCAGTTCTATTAAATGAAGGCTTCTATAACTTTAGATGTAGATGTCTTTGTGTGAATATTCACGCGCTGTTTCACTCACACAGGAGGAACTGCTTGAAAGACAGCAAATTTGTTTTTTTATCTCAAGTTCTTTATCTCTCACCTTGTCATGGTTACAACAAGAAGTGAGATGAGATGAGATGTGCTTTTTTAAAAAGCCAAGTTATTACAGATTAATCAAATTATATTTTAGGAGCATTTAATGTGCATGCAAGATCATGTTGGCTTATGCTCGTAACTTACTGAAGTCTAGCAGTATGCTCATTGGCTTGACTGGGTTTTAAGCTATCATCTAGTGTGCTGTAGCATAAAATGCATCTCAGAATGTCCTGATTTAAACTCAGATTTTATAAGCTGTTCAAATGCTTCAAAAATGGAGATTACTTCTCCACAGAAGGTCAGTCTTGGGGACTGAATCTGAAACATTTAGTCCCGGATGTCAATAATGCTGCTCATAGTAATGACTCATATCTTGCAGATTATTGAATTAAGAGATGTATTTACATATTGACTGGCACATTTTAGCACTCACTGTTAGGACTAACAGGAGATGATATGCAAGTGATTGTTAAGGAAAAAATATAATGGAAAATATAATAAAAAATATAAAGTTAGCTTAAAGCTCCAACAAATGCAGGCTTATGAAACTCTTGAAAAGTTCTGTCATGGTTCTATGTTTTTTTTTTTTTGTTTGTTTTTGTTTTTGGGTTTCAGTATTCCACATCAAAACATCATGTAGTGTACGGGGCATTAAAGTGTCACTGCCCCAATCCCAGGTACCTATCCCTGTACATTACAGCAGTCACGGGATCTGACCCTTCCGGGTGGGGGGGGCGCTCTCTTGCTGCCTGGCAGTGGGTGCTGGAGGGTGCTTTCCTAGCCGTTCCAAGCTTTTCAGGTTTGAATCGGTCCCGGGAACTCTCTCTCTCTCATCTTGTCTGATTTATTAATCTCAATTTCAATTAAATTGTACATATTGTGTTATTTTGTATTCCAATATTATAGTAAAATAAGTTTTCCTCCATAGATTGTTGCTGCTGCTCTTTTCCTCCCTTCCTTCCTTCCCGTTTTTTGTGGGACTGGGGTGGGGGGGAGAGGGCAGAGGCCTGTCGCTCCTGTCACGGACATAGATTGATCTAGTCAACTCCGTGACAAGTTCAAGGTAACCTCATCTCCCAGATGAGTACACAATGAGAACATATATTACATTTTCAGGCTTTGGAGCTTGAAGTAGAAATATAGCTCTGGCATTTCAGTGTCTATTAAAAAAAAAATGGAAGAGAAAAAGTAGTTAAAACCTCAATATTTTATTTAAAATTTGTTGCATTTTGCTCTCTAAGAATTTCTGGAAGTCAATAGCAAACTTTTTAATGCTTTTTCTCTTTCTAATACACTAGGAAATAAACTTTATTAAATTCCTTTGTACTAATTTTTCTCATTTCTTCTTCTCTCTCTTTGTTTTTTCCGTTGCTGCCTGTCTATTGTCTGACCATCTGGATCCTTATCCATCGTATCTGTCTGCTCTACTCTCCATCTACTGAATGAACTTGGGTTCTTTAAATGTAATTGTTGGTAGCGAGAGCTGAAGTGATGTCTAGCTCAAGATCTCAAATATTCTCCGTTTCTTCTGGTAAAGGGTCCAGCAATGATAACAATTTAAATGATAACAACTCAGATTCTTCCTATCTTCCTGACAATCATAAAGGCATAGGAGGAAATCAGATAGTTAATGGGGAAGACTTATCTGTGGCACAGTTTGAAGATGACATTGAGAAGTCTGTTCACCTTAATCAAGATGGCAGTATGACAGTGGAAATGAAAGTTCGATTCAAAATTAAGGAGGAAGAAACTATTAAATGGACAACCACTGTAAGTCGTGCTGGCTTTCCTGATGAAAAAAATGCCACCATTTGCAATTCTGTGATGAGTGCAGAAGACTGCTTATCCAGTGTAAATGTACCAGAATGTATAAAACAAAAGGATGCTCCATTTTTGGACAGCTACGGTAAAGAACAAGAGTCATTAAAGCAACTGCACACAGAAGTCTCAGATAAAGAATCAGAGTCTGATTTAAAAATGGATGTTTATAATATCTGTCAGAGGAACAATTCTGCTGATCTAGATGTAAGCAACGTTCCTGAGGAAAATATCAGACCTCATTTTTATAGGCCTCCCACCCCTGGGCCAAGACGTGTTAGAAAAAAGAAAGCAGTAGTTGAAAGTGTCACCGTAGTTTCTGATAAAGAGGTTCAGGAGAAAACAATGGGACAGTTTTCCTACAGTGAGGAAATACAGAATGGAGAAAATACATCTGAGTATTGTATGGTAGCACAATCAAGCACAAAAAAATCAAGTGTCAGTAATCCAAAGATTAGTGAGATGAGTGACAATGATTTATTAAAACTTTCTTCAGAGAATAAAAAAGAAGAAATGCTTTTCAATGTAAGGCACAAAAGTCATGATTTAATCAGGACCACAGATAAGGAGATATTAGATGTATCAGATGAGCCTGAATTGGTACAGAATGTATTAGAGAAATCAGTTATGGAAAAAGGTACATATAGTAGTTTAGTATCAACCTGTAAAGCCAACATTAGTGATTTTATGCCATCATCAAAAATATGCAAGGCAGCCAGGCCAGTTTCAGCAGACCATATTCATGAGTTATGTGATATAAAACAAATAAGAAGATCTCTCAGCTCTTACATTAAATATTCAGAATTTTCTCAGTCAGAAAATGAAAAAATAAAATGCAAGACTTCTGATTTATTAACTTTTTCTCAAGATTCTTTGCATTCAGCCTGTCATCATAATCAGATGGAGATGGTGGCACCTCCATGTAGTAAAGCACCTACTGAGAAAATAAATCCAACAACTGGATTCTTTTCTACTGTTAATGAAACTGAGAATCAAATCAATGTCTGGTCTGAATCTGTGATGGCATCACATCTGACTGGTGAAAGCCAATCTGCATCTTCTCTCACCAACAAGAAGAAGAAGAAGAGAAAATCCTTGTCCAATTTTCTAGAGCAGAAGATATATGAAAATCAAAAAGATACAGAATTTTCAGGGATAATTAGAAGTGAGGGAATGCTTATCACAAGCAAAACAACAACTATAGATAGCTGTTCTGACATGCTTCAGAAAAATAGAAATAGATTACTTGTAAAAAACAATGACGGATCTGCCAATTCAGACAAAAGCAAACATCCTGAAGATGAGATATATCACCCTGATTCAGCGGAAAATGGAATATCATCATCTAACAAGAATCCAAGAGCTAA